ATTGTCAATCAGTTTGCAGAAATACAAAGGAGAATAAAAAACGAAGACGTAACAATTGTTCCAATTTTTCTCAAATATTTTACGGTAAAGAATTTCTCAATAAAAGCCAATTTTCTTGAGTACGACCCTCTAAGAACTTTTTGTTGAAGTAAGGGGCTATATTTCTTCAGGCATAAGCACGAATACAAATACTGAAAAGAAACGAAGTAAAAAGATTGGGCATAATGAATTGCTCGAATAAAAGAACTGTAACGTTTCGTTCGTTCCTTTTTGCAATTAGTCCGACAAAAATGGTTAGTGGTCACTTGATTGTTTTAGTTTTTCTTCCTTGTTTGTGAATTTGCACTTCTGGTATTCTTATGATTTCGTTGATCTATCGTATAGTAAATCACACAAATATCCTAACTTCATAGAGGTTATGCTTTTAAAAGAGCCATGAATTGATTGTAGTGACCTTCATAGTTCATTAAAATTGTAGATAATAAATATTGGTTTTAATCTTCATTCGAGAGTGTTATTTACTTATAATTAACAATGAGATGATCAAAGCTTCCTAATTCTGAGTTTCTTTTTATCTTTTAAATAATAAAGATGTAAGAACTATTTTTCCATTATCAGCTTTATGTTCGAGTTCTTGCTAGCTATGCTGTGCTGTGCTATTAATAAGAAATTTATTAAAATATATAAAAGTTACTAAAGCACTACACACACTGCACTACACTACATATTGCACGGATGTTAAAACGTCATTTCACCGCTTCCTACTGCGCTCAGTACTGTGAGTTCAATCGCCGCATGGGACAACAGTTTGTGTGAGCCACAAATTGTTATTCTCAGTCTGTGTGTTCTTTGCGCCCGATTTCACGAGATCTCTTTTCGAGATCTTTACATGAAATGTACTATAAACATTTATAAATAAGAAGTGACAGCATTTTTTAAATCGTAAAGTTTAAGAACAAAATAATTTTTCAGGCCTTTTACTATATTTATTGCCTCAAATGATACTATTAACAAACAATTGTCTTATGAAGCGTTGAGTAGGTCTGAATAATTTGTAAAACGAACAAGTTTTTTGTCCATGATATAATAAAAATGCAAATATAGAAGAAGTAAAACGAAATATCTTGGTAAAACGAAATATCTTATAGCCAAAGTCTCGTGTGTATGGAGCGGAAGCCATTAGTCATTGTTATTTCCACACAAACATTATTTATGTAGGCGTTGTGAAACATTTATTGTAGTGTACCGATACCGAAATTACTAGCTATTGATACCTAGAAAGTGTACTAATAAAGTTTACTATACGTGTACGTGGAATACGTGACGAATTTGTCTTCAGTTCAACTAAAGAACTGATATAACTATGTACTAAAGCTGAGAGAACAAGAAACACTGAACAGAAGAACACGCATTGTGTAATAGTCACTTTAATATCTCCGGTACTGTGACAAAACTAGTGTAATAGTTGATCGGTTTCCTGTTATGAAAAGTCATTCAGTATAAAATGAAATACTTTACACATACAATATAAATGCAGGAGTTTCTCTAAATAACACGGAAACATGCACGTTTTGAAAGAAAGACAACGATGACATAGGAATTGTCCTTGTGCCGCGCCTGAATAAATAAATATTTAAACACACAAACAACACCCAGACTTGGTACTTCTATCCGTAGATCATACCATATGTACTTGTAGGAATCAAACCACCAATACTTAGCACGACGCGGCGACGTGATGACATTCATGCAGCAGCAGTAAAGTCAGTTTACAAACCACATCTGATGGTGGATGATATGATTTAGTGGAAAGAAAGATGAAACGTAATGAAAATAATATATCATATTTGTATATTATTTGCCTTAATTTTAATACAGTTTACGTAAATAATGTCACATTTCAGAAAAAAAAAAATTCGTATGGAAATAACAACACATTTAAGTCGAAAGGATATGAGTCCTATTCGTATCCATATTTGGCAGCGGCCCAGACACCTTTGTTAAACGAGCAATATACTTATTTACAATTTTCCGCCAATGGAAAATGCCTACGCTTTTAGTACCTATCTATCGTATTATGTATACTTATGTTAATTATATGCTAGGTGGTCTTATTATGGAAATAATAGGACAGCTGTCTATATTTAAATTGAGTAACGAATCCAAATAAGTTTAAAAGCTACTAAAATTTGAACTAGTTCTCACAAGATTTGAGGTGACAAACCGATTAACGAATACATATTTATTAATAGGTCACTATTATTGTTTTAGCTATTTTATCTAAATAATAAGGTGAATGTTTTTTTTATTCGGTTATTTGGATTGTTTTGATCTCTTGTTATAATTAATTGTACAAATCTCAGATCACCTATATTAACAAATATCAAGCAAATTTTGACTTTATTTTTGAAGTGTATATGTATATGTGTATATTTGTAGTGTATATTTATATGAGTAAGATAAGTTACTTATATTAAAAAAAATCGATTTATCTTTTGTGTAAACATTCTTTATTGTAATGTACAATATTACTACAACTACTTATTACTGTTATTTAGATGCAGATTAGTTATTTTTTTAGAACAAATGGTTTTTGTATTTGTTTTTTTTAAATAATCACGAGCCGTAATTTAAGAACACTTTATTCCATGATTAGTAGTGCTAATGCCCGTGGAATTTAGATCAGTCTATGTTTGAAAATTATTTACATTACCCTCGTTTTACAAACGAAACTTCTATTTAAAGTCACAGTAACTTTAGTCACAAGATATTCTCGTTGATTTAAAAAGGACACAAGTATTTTTTAAATATTCAACTTTCATTAACACCAGTGCGTCTTGAAGGTAGTTTACATTCACAGTGCGCTATTGATTATTCAGTGTTGGGTATTGATGGTAATCAAAAGGTTTCGAGTGAAAACTCCTTATGGAGACGAGTATCACGTACACCTGATCAATATTGAGGTCGCGATACATAGAGTTCTATTTGAATACAAAAGCGAGTTACGGATGTAAAGTCGTGGCAGACATCTCAAAACGGTTTACCAACGAAAATTGGATTGAATTTTGATCCAACATTGATTTGTCCACTTTAAACTAAACGTATTTTGGATTTATGCATGTTAGCAACAAATCGTTTATACTAATATTAATGTATGGCGTACATCGAAATCCAAAGTCCGCTATAAGCGAGAGTAAAGCCTGGTGAATTAATGATATTAATCAATGTAACATAATTTTGAATATTAAATTAGGTGTTCTAGTCACACAACTAAAATACCGAGTGCCCGTTTTAACGTTTATTACTCACAATTTTTTCTGTCCCCGTCAATGTAATAACTGCATTTTATTATAGTTGCGAAGTTTTTTATTTGTATCATATATTTATATTAGGATAATAGTATAATGATATAAATTTATAATATTTAAAAATATATCTTTCTTGAATAACGTTAAATAAATGTAGCAGATTATTGTACAGATTATACTCAGATAACGAACGATAAACCTCTTGTGGGGACGATAATGTTATCTGTTTCAACTAAAAAGGAATGTGTTTGTATTGCACTTCGTCGTGTCACGATTTTGTTGATAACCAATATCGTTTGACCCATATTCATAACAAGGACATATCGCATGATAACCTTCTAAAATTTATCCTCGATAAGTAAATTAAAACATGGAGTTGACAAAAATATATGCTTTCCACGAAATTGTTATTGGCAAACATTTGTTTAAATATGCAAACAGTACAAATTGAAATATGTTGCTTAAATAATGTCCAACTTTTAAAACAGATTTCATACGATTTCAAAAATATGTAGGTCATCATTATATTTATTCATTAATAAACATTTAGTAGTTAATATATATTTGAAGAACCCTTATTCACATTAGTATAATTAAAAAAAAACTATTTTGCTCTTTTGTTACAAGGTCAAATAATTTTATTAAAATATAATTTATGTCGTAGTTTGCGAGGACACTGTACATTTAATTCAGAAATTACGACAATATAAGAAAAAGGAGTCGCTTGCAAGTTGTCACTTACAATACTATACGATTAGATTAGGGGCTTTCAAAGGGACTTTCTTGTCAGTGTATTAAGGCAAAAAGAAATTAAAAACAAAGTATTTCTAAATATTCTTGAAGTTGCCAGAGGGCACAAACAATTCTATGAATATGCAGGTCAAATGAACCGTTAGTTAAGTTCAAGAGCTGTCAAGGCATCGCAATCAACGCTAAATGCATAGGTATACATACATTTAAGTCGTGGTCGTGTATTTTTGGAGTCGAATGACCTTTCCCTATGTATAAAAAAATTTAGGTAAAAAGCTAGTTTACAGTATACTCAGTAACAATCACACTGTAAATTTTTGTGTGTTAGCAGTACAAACTTAGTCAGTAAAAAAGGCACTATCTATTTCTGTCTAAATATTTACCAAACTATTCAGAGTATTTTTTATATACCTTACAAAAAATAATGGCAGGTTCAAATGCTATTGTAAAGATACAAATGAAATTGTTTCGTTTAGATTTTGAATTATGTTCTTCGTATTGTGAGGGCCTTTAATACTCGTACACGGCTTGGACACGGATTTGCGGTAGACGATTGTGACGAGTTTATTATTAAATATACCCAACCTAAACCAACCCGCAGCAATAAAAAGCTCAAAAACCAGTACACAGTGCGATATAAGTAGATATTGTATAATTATATCTACTCACGTTAGCATCCTTAACAGATTAAAAAGTTAAACAACTCAATTCAACGTTCGTAATTCTGATGGCGTGCTTAAAAGAGTTCATTTTCTGCACGAACTGAAAATGCCTATTCAAGGTTTAGTAATTATAATTTATATTTTGCGATACACTTCATGACTATAAAAACAGTGTACTCTTTAACAATAGACTTTATCTAGTCACAACTGAATCAAGTCTGCCATAACAAAAACAGAGAATTAGTTAGTGTTTGAAACAGTCGTGTTGTAATTAGTAATAATGGTTGTGTTAGCTACTGAGTCAGTTGGAGGTCAAGGTGCGTCATTGCGACGTGTTGTAGATCGCTAAGATTAGCAATGACGCACTGTTGGATAGTCTCGGTCACTACCCCCTACTATACTTAGTATTATCGTTCGTAAAACCTGTGACACAAACACCCGTTTGATGACAGACAAAGAATACGGAGTGTCACCACCCCTATTCATCTCGTGGGTGACGTAAGAACCGACTAAGGGAGCAAACCACGCAGAACAACAGCATTGCAAAGAGAAGTAAAACTTGACACAAACCCTAAACCGACCCGTCTTAGTCGATTAGATAGATAAGGGTAGGTTTAAAATTGCATGCAATCAGCCGTGGGTACAAAATAATCTCAGTATTTTGGAAAAACTTAGTTAAAGATAATCGCTTTCTTAAATATGCCTCTACGCCTGTGTTTATGTAAAACCAAGGTTATACATGATCCTTTAGGTGGTGACGATTACAGATGATTTAGGACAAAGTGATGAGTGACTAAAAGATAAGCGTATTACGAATATTTAGAGCGGTATGGTCAAATGTTGACACCTGACACTGACCACATCCTGATTTGATGACCCAAGATATGTGTGTGCATTTAAAGTACCATAGTTCTGTAGAAATTAGTGTACCCGATGAACTGTAATGTGGCGTCAATATAAGAAACTTCTGAGCAATATTTCATTCTTTTATTAATCTAGAACCATTATTGTGCAAATTAGATTGAGCGTTTTCTATATTAGGGTTCAAATTTCATGCAAAGATAACTATTTCAGTTTGTCTATAACAACGCTCACTTTTGCTATACCTACATAACTAGCGTTCTAAGTAAAGCACAGTTTTCACACACTTCTTCACTTTCTTTAAAGAAAGAGTATCAGGCATATTTTTCAACGATAACCGCCGATAGATAGGCTATTTCATATCAGTAAAGTATAGAGCATTTAAGTCTAGAAATCTAGAACCGGCTGATGCTTTCACGCGACGAATATATCCTTTTTATACCCCTGCATCGTGCGAACACAATTCTATAGAGTGTTGGGACTCACATTGTACTTTAACTTCAATGAACTTCATAATGCCAGTCACTAAAATTTCAAGTAAGAAAAATGAGGCTTTGCTCTCGATAAATACGATTCTCTACAATTATGTTAAAAGAGTGACATCGTGTTTCGAGGAGCATGTTTAGAATACAGAAGACTATGTCACTGTTTATTTAATATGGCGAAAAAAAGTGTTTTTCATCCACGCATTACACTGAAATTGTCTCCAGGGGAACCAACCTTTTCACACGCTTTATCGCATGAAATAAGTTTAATTTTTTTTTTATCAGGATTTTACTCGGTTTTATAAGAACTATCACGTTACAAAGGACTCGTTGCTGGAAATCTCTCCGTTACTTAGGGATGTATGTGAAACTTATTTAATTATCAATAATCATGGCTTCTGATCAAAAAAATCATTTTCAACTAATAAAAATTATTTTAACTCAGATTTTTCTTGCTACTCGCACGAATTAGGTTGGTTAATATTCAGTTTGTTTGATTATGAATATTTAAATGCATACAATCTTCATGATATGTCATATATAGTATAATTTATATCTCATTGGTGACCTTGAACATTCCATAGTCATGATATATAAGATATTGTACTAAAAGCAACTTAAAGTTGTACGAGAGCGAGTTGTAGTTAGTACTGTTGAATATTCAGTAGGTACATGCTTTGAGGTTTTTGTTTAGAAAATAATACTTTCGCTCCCAAAGAGTGAGAAAAACATGAAATATTTACAATTTTCTTTGTCTCAAAGATTGTGAAACTTGACGGTAAACTTAACGATTTACAACATAAAAGAACTTAAGTGTTCGTAATGAAACTGTTTAAGTTACACTATTGAATATGCTTTTTGACTGCTCTATTGAATATATAAATAGCATAAACGCCTACCAAGACTAATGTCCGCTGAAAATTATATTAGGTAACAAATAGTGCATTAACATTTTTCTTCTATGATATTATTGACAGCTTATTAAATTTAGTATAATAAACTAATAATGAGTCTTTTAAATCTTGAGGTTTTACCATGTGAGAAGGCACAAAACTTCAAGTATCGATGTTGATTTAGGACATGCAATAAAATCATTAGTTTATTTGTAAAATCCAAATATAAAAACATTTTTCTCTATTTGGTTAACTACACATAGGATAAATACCGCACATTTTCCACTCAAAAAACGACTTCCGTGGTGTAAGAACTTAAGCGTCGAATGCCCGATTCGTACGTTAAATACACAAATAATTTTAGTTAATGTGGTGGATTAGATATCTAAATTATTTAATTAAAACAACATGATATTTTTAGATAAACATAAAAATACTCGTAACGCTAAATGGCTCATCTGTAGGAGCGAGTTAGGAATAACCATGGAGATATAAACATAGAGAGAACACGGGGTACAGCTGCCTGTAAGTGGAAGCGATACAGACAACGAGAGAGATGGATGCCCGATAGTTTCTTCTGTCTCTGTTTAGCTAAACTGCGATTGGCGACTTATTAACCCCAACCACCACCCAGCCAACCAGAGAGCTTGACTAGAAAGAGATAGATGCATTTATCTATAATCCATCTCTCTTGTTGCCTATATTGCCAGATTGGGACTCTTGTTCACTCTATGCTTATATTTTTATCGTAATAACAGATGTGTCTCAAAGGTATTTTTTTTATAAATAACGCAATGAACTAATAACAAAGAACACCTATTATCTCACACGAAACACGGAAATAATGAAGAATGAATGAACAGGGCCCCAATTCCGCTATTTTAATTTTGTATCAATAGAGTGTCGATGGAGTGTCGTCGGAATAGTTTGGCACTTTTCGTAATCTGCTAACTAAATAAAGACCAATGGCCTCCCGATGACTTGTCACTGATACAAAATGTTTTCGATGTCTGTTCAATAGTTTGCTAAACGGTAGTCTACAAGTGTTTGACAGAATTGACAGTTGTTTCAATGACACCACGATGGCTTCGGAGTGAATAATATTGTTGTTAAACTATCATTGATCTGCCATCAAGCAGTCACTGCTTTTTTGAGAGTGTTATGTGCGTATTTAGTTATTTACGTTAATTCAATAAATAAGTAATTAAAGTGCGTAAACAAATATGCCTCAACTTGCAACGGAGGCAAATATTAGAAGCTGCTTACAACGAAGATCGTCGAGTTAAAGAGGTTTGAAATCGCCAATGAGCTCGTGGTTTGTCGAGACAAAGTGGTAAATATTAGACATAATATGCGAGGACACATTTATAAAAGTGTTTAGGCTAACAAAAAGCCTTGTGGAGAAGATATCAGCATTATTCCTTCAGACAAAGGTAAAGTTAATAATATGAAAACAAATGTTCTATTGGTAATTTATGTTTCAGTTAAATTAACTTTACAGTTTTCTGATAACTACTTCGTATTTCAGCTTCTGATATCATTTTAAATGCCAGGATCATATCAAACCAAAGTGCATTCCAAAATGTTCACAAACTATTAGACAAGTGACCAAGGCATTGAATCATCCTACCATCATACAGAATCATCAAGAAAGAAATGACATAAATGCCAAGTAAGTATATACCTTTAACATTTTAATTTATCTAAGTGGAACAACTAACAAGACAATATCTATAATAATTATATCTTAATAATTTCTTTAAGAGACAATAAAGCCGGTGCCACTTATCTATAATATTTCATAATGAATAAAAAACTATTAAATCCCATAAAACTTTACCTAAGAGATGATTGCCTCTTGGTGAAATATGTAATGAAGGCTGAAGGGTCAGTGTTGACAATGTACACCTACCTATTAAATTAAATGTTTATTTTTACCAATTTATTTATAAGTGATCAATTTTTCAGTTTACTTAATGTTAACAATAATTTATAGGTATGTGATTCTGATCTTAACATCATGTGTGTCCGGGCCAATATCCCTGATGCAGCCCATGACTCCGGTAATCCACAGCCAACACTTAATGGGTTTAGCTGGTCCCGGTGAAGATCATTCATTTTTAGCAGGTGAGTACATGGGACTTTATGATGGTAGTTACCTACCTAATAACTTTGACTAAAACAAAATAAATTCATTTTATTTTGGTTTAAGCTTAATACCCTATTTGTTGGAATAACATGTACTAGTCTAGAAACCATTTGTATAATATTTCAGTTTTGTATTAGTCAATTAGTAGCCAAGTAGTTTTAAAAATGTATTGTTATTATATTAAAGAATTTATTACAAAATGTTAAAATTTCTTTGTGATACACCTTGTGCAAGTGGTTGATCACTCCAGCTTTAAACAACATTGAAAGAACTGCAGAGCATTACTATTATAATTTGCATGTCACCCAATACTGTTGAGCGCTGTATTGGGATGTTTAAACACTACAGACACTGAGTACACATATTGATGAAATTTACTCTATCAAATGAATCTATCATGACAAATTAACTCTATCATGTTTTTTGACATATTAATAATAATAATTATAGATTTTAAAGCAGCGGCTCAATGAATGAAATACTTATTATTTTGTGTGCTATCAAAAAAGGAAAAGTAAAAGAAAACAACATAGTCATTGAATTTTTTTTTATTTGAGTTACAGCTATAGGTCATGGATGTTACATTTCTGAAAAAAAAGAAAATGTTACTACAATATATAATTCACAATATTTATTTTCAGGCTTGCTGCTCAAGTACTTCACTTCCAAATATAGCAAGGGCACATGCACAACATTCGGCACACCTTCTAAATGTTTCCCCAATATCTCGGTCCATAATATAATATAACCACTCTTATAGTGGTGTCAAGGTGATGAGAGTTGCTGGGCCATCTCCTGAAAACAATGAAGATCATCTTAGGAAAACAAAATATATTATACTAGTTTCACAATAAAAGTTATGTATATTTACCATTGTTATTATTTTATTTTTATAAAGTTCATCACAGATATTTGTTTTTATTTTCTCTATGTTCTTTGCTTTTTAATTTGTATTTTTTATAAACCTCAAAAGAATAAAATAAATATTAACTTTTAATAGGATATTATTAAAATAAAGAAAGCCTGTTGAAATTAGCAGACAACGTAGTGGACTATTTGCCCTAACTTATTTCGTTATTGCCTTCTCATAAAGAAAGAGATTGGTGGAGGGGTGCCTAGAAGAATAGAACAAATGTAAATTAATACTCACTACTTTCTACTCTGGCAGTCAAGCGAAACACCATATATTTGCGCACTCCGTCCATAATCGCTTCGCCAGACTGCATCCTTTTTTGAACCAGGAACATCAAACGCATCTAATTGTATCTCACTCGCCATTTCTGCAACGAATTTAGGAGTTTGAATTACAAAAATTCAAAGTAAAGACAATGATGCACTATGGAGTGTTAAACTATAATTTTATTAATATATTTGTTTGCAGAAATAGATAATACAATTTTATATAATCCATAACATCTAAAAAATACGAAAGTAAGTACTTACTATTTCTTTAGAAAGCATTTTAAATTTGCTGGTCCGTTCCAACAATGACAGATAAGTCAGTGACACTTTTTTCGTTTGGCAATAGCACTTACAAACAGCCAACGATAATTTTATTAATTACGGTGTATAATGTCGTTGTAGTTTATACATTTTTAACAATAAATATGATAAATTCATAACAACTTCATGTACCAAAATAAAAAAAACGTAATACATTTTCAAATTATAATTAAATGATTTATTATTTTTCCAAACATGGCAATCTTTTTGATATCACCACTGATGAGCCATTACCATTCCATTGCCACTGTAAAGACACTGAGTTAGTGCAGAATACCGAAAATTAATACCGATGCCAATGGCCACTCGATGGCATCTCAAAAGCGTGTCAGTGATATGACAGTGGCTTTGCGTAAACATAAAATAGCAGAATTGAGGCCCAGAACGGAGTTCAATGCACCGCATCTCGGCATAGAAGGTGGAGTAACACTGGATAACAATACGTAATTTTGTCCCATTTTACACAGACAATCTGTTCCAATATTATATGTTAGGTTTTTCTTCTTCTTTTTTGTTTTTTTTTCATGGTATGGGTTTGACCAAACAAGCAGACGGGTTAACCTGATGGTAAGTGACTACCGCCGCCTTTTAACTCAAAACACACAACACGTAGTCACAATTTAAGTGGCCCAATAATCTCACTCAGTCGATGAAAAGCTACATCACATCAATAGCCTTTAATAGTCCACTGCTGAACATAGGCATCTCCTTAGAAAGGAGGTTTTGGCCTACTATATCACGGTGGCCAGACGGGTTAGTATAGGGTTTGTTTCAAGTTTTCCTTCTCTTTGCATTTCTGATGCCCTGCGTAGTTTGCTCCCTAAGTCGGCTCTTGAGTCACTCATTGGATGAATAGGGGTGGTGACACTAGCGACGACCGTAGCCGCAAGGCTTAAGGGTGTGCTCAACAAGCTTCCGAAGTCATAGGTTCAAATCTACGGCGATCCAATAGCTCTTTTTAGCACCAGGGACTTCCTTTCTAGGGTATACCTAGTTCCCCGGCTATTAGTACCCGAGACGGCGTGCGGTTTTAGTCGGTTCGAGTCCGACATGCCACCGACAGGTGGTATCCGAGGGGATTTCCGCACGGAAAAAAAAAAAAAAAAAAAAAAGGGGTGGTGACACTCCGTACTCTTAATACGTCACCAGACGGACTAATAATTACTTAACACCGGTTTTGTGTGATTTCGTGGTTTCACGTTGGTCGATCTTATATATGTTTACCTAACCTAATAGATGCCTTTGAATACCTACTATATTTTGGAGCACATACGATGTCATTTTACAAAAACTACCCTCAGTAATATTTTAAGTGAAGGATTATTTGTTTTATTTTATAATCATTATCATATTGTACGTTAGAAAACTAAGAAAAATGTTCGAAGAAATAAAATCTAGAAAATTCTACCGACCGAGTTATAAAACAAACGTAAGTGTAATGAGCCGTGAAATTGAGTCCTTAGAGAAGGTATTTTATACTAAAGTCAATCTAAAGGCCCAATTTGAAATGGAAACGAATTCTACCTTTCGTTGCTTTCAGTACGATTTTTTGCCTATTATTAAAAGTAATATTGTAAAAGAATCATGTCCCTTTAAAGGATTTTCCTTATTTCCATTGACTTCTTACAAACATGTTTTGAATATTTGATATCTAGAACTGGGAAAGTACGTATCTATGTCTTACAAAAGTAATTTATTCTCCAGTTTTTATAGGTTTTGATAATTGTTTAATACGTAGCACAACATGATCATGCACTTTGTTTGTTACTGTTCGTACCTATAATTTGTTTCATAAATGCGGTTAGATAACCGTTTCTCTTTTAGTTACAATATTTAAAAGCAACTCAATTATCCATTTAAGTATGCAATCACTGATAAACTGGCGTCTGTCATTATATGATGATATATATGAAAATTGTATTACCGAAGCTTTTAAACTAAATACTCGTAACTAAACTACTGTGCAATGATTAAAATCTACAATGTCGTACTAACTAATAACTAATAATATGTATATAAAATAATCAAGTTATATAAAAAACTTAATTATTTTATATGCATATTATTATATTCACTTTTAAAAGACATTAATTTGATCAAATAAACATTTTGAATACTTTATCATTATACCCATGTAAAGTTTATACAAATTCCACAAAATAATATTATAAATATGAGTATTAAAGTTTAACAGCTAGTTATAAATCTAATAAACGAGACATCTTATTTCTCAGTACGCACTGGCTTGTATGAATAGTAGGGAAACTTAAACCTGCTGGGTAGTTTTTGCTCATTTTGATACAACTTTAAACGTTAAGAAGACCCAGTAAAGTACAATTTATTATATTGCGCTACTATGTGGTAAAAGTTGAACCAAAACTGACTAGTTTATGGTGTTACCAGTGCATCAGTTACAAACAACAGCATGTTCGAATTACAGATTAGTGAACATAGCTTGCTAAAAAAAACTAAAACTTCTCAATTCATTTGTGTAAACATCAATGCCCTTTTTCTTGCATGGCCTTCCTCCCTCGTCTACTTTTCTAATTTACTTTTCTCTCAGTTTAAATTTGATTAATTTAAATTAATTTATTTAAATACATCCCTTAAGAAGAAACAAGAAGTCTTGAGTGTACATAAATTTTATACATAGTTTAATTGTATACATCAATTTTATGTGTGGCAACAAGCGGTCAGACCAGGAAGATTTTTGTGTATTATCGAATAGTTAATTGATTGAATTAATCTAAGAGTTTTATTATCACATCAACACACACATACACACAATTTATTATAACACATTTATTTTAAATTCATCATCATCATCATCATCATCATCAGCCTATCGCAGTCCACTGCTGGACATAGGCCTCTCCCATTGCACGCCACTTAGATCGATTTTGGATTTTAAATTCATAACAAATTTATTATAAATTCAATTTATAACACCAAAATAACAAATTAACTGTCTCCAGAAGACTTTGGAAGAACACGAAGTATAATATATTGTCACAGAGGTTATTAAACTTTATAACTACGATATGTATACATATAGGTTGGTATCATAAGCTATAGATATGTTCTAATGAAAGTTATCACAGACACCTAATGTCTTTACAGTGTAGCAATTATAAAAAGGCACCGTATAAACAATTGAACAATAAACGTATACATAAAACAACAGAAAGTTTGTAGGAAGTTAGTTTTTGCTTAAAGATCTCCAGTTCATTAATTAGTGTTAGCATCTCAACTCAAGCGAGTCTGTTCTACTCGTCTGCCTAGACTTCCGCGTTCTGGATATTTCTACGTTCCACAGGTGTAATCCTTTTGTTGTGAACTTCAACAAGTAAATGCCTAGTAATTCTTGCTTTAATATGAATAAAACTCAAACGTTTTTTTTTCTGAAAATAAGACGAAATAAATTAAAAAAAAATCTGCAGAGAAAGGCTCTCATTTCATGGAATTGATAAGCTTGAAGCCCGCAGCAAATTGCTTGACTTAATTTTCTTTTCTAAAATGATCAGTAATAATAAAGTGTCTCGAAGTACTAAAAATGATTAGATTCCAAGCCAGCTATCCTCGGTCCCAAATTACTCCCTTTTACCCTCCACTTCGTAACACCGTATTCGGGTCTAAGTCCCGAGGCTCACGTATGTTTAAATTAGCAAACGTTATATAACTAGCACCAATAGCACGTAACACATCCTTGTGAATAGTTGTTAATTTAGAACAAGTATGTTTTAATATAAACATTTAAGTGCATGAATAAAGAAATTTTGAAACCTGAAGCAGTTGAGATTAACACATCTAGTTTTATTAGTTCTTATAAAATTATGGTTTGGTAATCAACGGTTAATTAATTTTAATTAAAATATTTTTGTCGTTGGCAAGAAAAATGTTAACTTATTTTTATACTTGAGCAGAAGATTATAAAGGCAAAGAAACAATAAGTCATATATAACATATATTTGTGTCAATAACTTGGGCTTACGTACTTGTTGACTGACTGTATATTAACTTCGTCACGATTTTTTCAATGCCATTGTATTTGGTTAGGTATGTCAATAAAACAATGCATTTATTTTATTTATTTAAAGAAAATATATCCTTAAAGAACAAGAATAGCTAAACTAGAATATTGTTTATAAATAAAAAAGTAAAACTAAAACAAGTATGTAATTTCAATAGAATAGGAATACCTATCACTAATTTAATAAATCCGGCAAAGTGCGAGTCAGAACAAAA